TCCAATAACAGTAAAGATCCACTTAAACTAAAGCAACTGTATGCTGCCATAACAGGGAAACATCCACCCCCCATACAGAAGAAACTGAAAAGTGCACCAAACGAGAAGTTTACACCAATTAGAAATCTTCAGTAACGTAGTAAACTTGATACAAATGATTCTTAAGTAATAAACTAATAATCAACTAGGAATATTTAGTAGAGTTGTAAACTTGTTACAAACGATTCTTAAATTCAATTAAATGTTTTCAGTAAAGTTGTAAGCTTGATACAAGCGATTCCTTAGTAATAAACTAATGGAAGAATGGCAAATATACATCTAAAAGCTGAAACATCCATGCTACCTAAACTCTATACAATTACACCAGAGAATCAGCAGCAGACTCTGAACATACACCAAAATGTATAAATCACTGATCCCCATTAAACCCACAGCAATTAGCTACACTGAAGCAGTAGAAGAAAGAAGACAATCCAATCGATCCAACCAGATTCTGAAGTTGTATAAAAAGACGCCATCCAGCAGATGATGGAATAAAGAACCTTAACCTTATTAAACAGCACCAGGCAAATGTAATCTATCCTCAAGGATTACAAGAAGAAAGACATCATCCTCAGCAAATGAACAACAAAAATCAACCACTTCGACAATTTATTCCTCCAAATCCAACGCAGGCAGCAAATCAAGGGCAAAAACAGTTGAGAAGAAAGAAACACAGGTGAAGGAAACCTGATATCTACCCATCTGACGGACGAAACGACGACGAAAGGAAGTTCCTCAAACCAATGGCCAAAACATCAACTCCCTCGATAGGAAAATCTTGAAAGCTATGGCTCCTAAAAATCCAATGAATCCTTGTTGGGAACCAGAAAAGCCCAGATTAAAAAAACTAACAAAGAGCATCATCAAGAAACCACTAGATCCATCAAAATCAATAATCGAGCAAAGCTGATATCCACCTCCAAGACGATGATCTACAAAAACAAACATCGACGGGGAAAGGAGAGCAAAGTAGATAATCTAAATATCCACCTCCAACAAACATCGACGGGGAAAGGAGAGCAAAGTAGATAATCTAATTGAACCAAAAGCGTAGCGTGAAAAGCGAGGAGAGAACTTATTCATCACCACGCCTAATTCAACAGTCAAAACAGGCTGATATCCACCTTGAACAGATCCAATCTACAACAACAAACCACAACCAACTGGGAAACAAGAGAAAAAACACTTGAACCAAAAGCGTAGCATGAAAAGTGAGTAGAGAACTTATTCATCACCACAGACAAATCAACAGTCGAACAGGCTGATATCCACGTTGAAAAGATCCAATCTGCACCAAAGCACAACCGACTGGGAAACAAGAGAACAAAGAAAATAACCTAATTATTAAACCAGAAACTAGCCAAGAGAAAAACTTATTCATCATCAGAGCCTCCATTATCCCGAGTCCCATGATGAAACAAAGCACCCTTCTACTCTTCAGGAAACCAAAGGACCCTATGACAGAAATCACATAGTAACATCAACAAGTCTCCCATAAATTCCCTATTTAGTAAGAGGAGAAAGGGTCTAAAGAAAGAAGAAAAGGTTAAGGAAAAAAAATTTCTCCCGCACACGATTGTGGATGCAAACTTTGTCGCCTAAACTGTCACCTAATAACACACGGGACAACACACCACAAGATAAATATCGTCACAAAAAAACCATCAAGGAAAAATCAGAAGAAATCATGACAAAACTTCATTCTCCTGAAGATCATATGTTCTCCTGATCTCAAAACTTGGTAGTGATCCTAATTTTTAAACGCAGCAAGGATGTGACATCTGCGGAGGCTCAACAACAAGGACAGCATATCAAGGGCAAAATAAAAATCAATTTAGAGACTCAATTAGTGAGAGAGATCTACAAACTCCTCATTGTGCATCATAGCTACAACCCTTCCTGCTAAAGAAAACCTGATATCTACAACAAAAAAAATTTACGTTAAGAAGGTTTCCAGAACACTTTGGACTCCCAAGGAAAACACGCAGATGACAGAGGATAGAAGAAACATCTCCAAACTAAGGGCTGATACATAAACTTCCTCAATGGCAGGATGAGCTTGTAAGCTAGGGCGCCTAAAAATCAAAACAGAGCATCCAATAAATCCTCGGGAACAAAGAGCCAAGATTAAACAAACAAACAAAGAGCATCAAGAAACCCCCTAAATCCATCAAAATCAATAATTGAGCAGACTGATATCCACCTCTCCAAAGCGAAAGCGATCCACTCTACAACATATAAAACAGTAAACAAAAGCAGACCGGGAAGAAGAAAGCAAAGAATATAATCTAATTGAACCAAAAGGAAGAGCGAGGAGAAGAAATTCATCACGACACCCAAATCAACAGGCGAACAGGCCGACTGATATCTGAACAACTAAACCAACTGAACCGATCCAATCTACAACCAACCACAACCAACCGGGGACCAAGATAGCAAAGAAGATGACCTAATTAAACCAAAAACTAGTGTGAATAGCTAGGAGAGAAACTTATTCATGATCAGAGCCTCCCATCTCCCGACAAACTAATCCTCCCATGATTGAAGCAAGCACCCTTCTACTCGTCATGAATCCAAAGGACCCTACAACAGAAATTGTAACATCAACACTATCATCATCCCATACATCCATAAATTCGCCTACCTAGTAAGAGGAAAAAAGGGTCAAGGAAGAAAATCTCTCCCAAGTTGTGGACACATCGGCTAAACTTTATCACCCAAGAACAGACCGCAAATATCCTCAGGAAAAAAAGACAAGGAAAGAAGAAATTATGAAAAAAATTCAATTCTCCTGAAAATCATTTGTTCATAAGGGGTTTTCAATCCGCTCAGGCTTAACAGCAAGGACAACAAATTAAGGCCAAAATTGTTGAAAAAATAAAAACAGTCGAGAAGATAAAACAACCAATCTAGACTCTCAATTAGGGGAAAAGATGGACAATGTGCACAGCAAGGACGGAAAATCAAATAAGAAGAAAGGACAGTTGAGAAAATAAAAACAATTGAGAAAATAAAAATCAATTAAGACTCCCAGTTAAAAAGATCTAAAATTCCTCCTTGTGCATCATAACTACAACCCATCCGATATGTATCCATCTCCTACAACAAAAAAATTTCCATGCTGTTCCCGGAATACTTGAAGTGCTAAATAAAACAAGCAGATGAGCAGATGAAGCAAGGATAATAGAAACTTCTCCAAAGCAGGGCGGAAATATCAACTTCCTCGTTGACAGGATAATCTTGAAAGCAAGGGCTCCTAAAAAACCAAAACAAAGCATCCAATAAATCCTTGTCGGGAAGCAGAGAAGCCAAGATTAAACAAACCAACAAAGAGCATCAAGAACCCCCTAAATCTGTCCAAATCAACAATCGACCAGGCTAAGGTCCACCTCCAAAAGGAAACCGATCCGATCTACAACAAAAAAACAACATCGACCGGGAAAGAAGAGAACAAAGAGATAATCTAATTGAACCAAAAACGTAGCATGAAGAGCCAAGAGAAGAACTTAATCACCACATCCAAATCAACAGTCGAAAGAGGCTGACCTCCACGTTCAAAACCAAACTGATCCGATCTACAACGACGAACCGGGAAACCAGGGAACAAAGAAGATGATCTAATTAATTAAACGAGAAAAGAGCCAAGAGAAAACTTATTCATCATCAGAAGCTTCCTCTTCCTCTCGCCGGAAGATCCCTCAAACATGTATTATCTCATGAGACAAGCCCTAACACAATCGGACAAATACACCAAGCAAAAAATCATCCTCTCATCAATCAATCAACAAGAAGAAACCAATTCAAACAAATTCATGATGTGCCCTAACACAATCGGACAAATACACCAAGCAAAAAATCATCCTCTCATCAATCAATCAACAAGAAGAAACCAATTCAAACAAATTCATGACGTTAAAAAACATCAAACTAAAACCCCCGCGGCCGAACAAGAAAAGAACAGAACAACATGAACGAACAACGAGACACAACAATGAAATACGGAAGGTTTGGAGTATTTATAAGAGATGGATGGGTTAATGTGCGGTCAGGATTAAGCGGTGAGGATTAATCTGGACGGTTGAGGAGAGATCTTTATCTGTTGACTATGTCGGTTATAGGAAAGTCGGTTTCGAATCTAACGCGGGTTAGAAAATCCAGGTGGAATCGGGTCAGAGTTGTGGTGTCAGATATATCCGTAAAGCTGTGGGTGTCTATCTTTACACGTCAAACATGCCTTAAACGAGTAATATTAACATTTACAAATTTGGTATTTTCAATTTTTTCTCTTTTCGTAAAGATTTTTTATTTTTAGGTGCATTACTTTTCATATATTTTTTATAATTTAATGATTTCTTGTATTTATGATTGAATGATGATACACAACTCACCTAATTTATCTCACCTTCCCATCTCACCTTACATAGCATTTAGTTATTGGATGAAATATAATAATCTAATTAATTATTAGATAAAATATAATAAGTTAATATAATTCTTTTTTTGTTAGATTCATCTATTTTTTGAATACTTTTATATCTAAAATTTCACAATAAATAGACCCTAACCCCTAAAAAAGTAAACCCTTTAGGGTAAAATTATAACTAAACAAAATATAATCAGTAGGCCGAATATTAATAAGAAATATATTTATATTTTAATTAAATTATATAAATTTAAATAATAAATACATTACCCAATCAGTAGATACCATGTAAGGTGAGATGATAAGGTGAATTATTTAGATGAGTTACTTATCATTATTCTTTATGATTTAATAATTTCTTGTAGTTATTAAAGCCTGTCCGCTGACATTTGCTATGTTAAATATCTTATCGTCCCAACTAAAGTATTTTTCAATTTATATTATTTATTTAAATTATAAAATAAGAGAAAATATAGCAAAAAAAAAGTAGTTCTAAGAAAAAAATATAGTAAAAAATTGTTCATTTCATCGTTTAAACCATACGTTGAAAGTGATTATAATTTTAAAATTCTCAGGGAGAGAAATGTATTACTACTAAAATATCTTATGTTACACTATGAATTATCAAACTCATTGACAGAGATTCTTCTAATCCCTTCATCACAGAAATTATTCTAACACGGTGGTGGTACTAACGTCGTAGTCTAGTATCATCAATCAACTAAGTGAACAAAGCTATATATAGCCATTTGATATCGTTCACAAGAAAGATGGATGATTCTTCTTAAAGAAAATGTGCAAAATCGTGCGTAAATTATTGTTCATTTTGTTCCGAAATTAACAATAATTTCGAGATGGAGGGAGTAATTGTTATTAGAACATGCAAGACCTAGAAAATTAAACTTCAAAACTAGAATGACAAAAACATAGCTTGTAATTTTATCCCTAAGCATAAAGTAAAAGTATGTCGATACAAGATAAACAAAATGTGACCATCAGCAAATTTAACTTACAGAAGATGATCGGTGAAAATTTCAGGAGATGGAATGATGAGGTGCAGGGTGTAATGTAGTGTTGATATGTTACACGGGGCGATTTTGATCAGCTGATGATAACTTTGATTCCCTCAGTTTCTTCAGCGATTTTCCGAACTGATGCTTCAACAGAATGTTTGCAGCTTTGTACTTCAATCATCTGCAATGTGGGAATTCCATAAAAGTCGAAAGGGACTTCCTCCAGGTTTTTACAATTATGTATCACCAGGTGTTGAAGTACTGGGAGGTGTTCATAGGAAGCATCCCATTGAGCAATGTTTAGGGTGTCAAATTTCAAGAACATGAGCTTGGTAAATTCATCCTCTGTCATCTCCCACATTTCCCCCACAAAGGCTCCATAACACAATTTGAGAACTTCCAGATTTGGCAACCTCCCGATGGAAGAAGTTCGATGCCATGGTAAGCGAAAATGTGATAGAGTCAATTTCTTCAGATTCAGAGGGAAAGTGAACTCACCTGGATTGAGATCCCTACCAAAATAAAAAATATCAAGCGACTCCAAACGAGTCAAGAAATCCAATGCTGGGAACTCGTTGCAGTTCATGGAGGAATTCCATGATTCCCGAAAGATGCATATAAGCTTATGAAGTTGTGGCATCCGTCTTAGTATCTTCTCTGCGTCTTTTACATGGCAAAGAGAGAGCACAGATAGGCTGAACAAATTATCAAGGAGGAGAGAGCTGTCCGTCTGGTCATCAGGTAAGCTAAAAACAGCATAGCTATTTATATGAAGATGCCTTAAACTAGCCATGCGCCAAATGCTATCTGGCAATGTGATCTTGCCAACTAGTCCCTTCACGATAAGAGTTTTCAGCAGCCTGAGATTGGATATTGACCCTGGAATAGACTCCATGTCCCCACTAACAGCCAAATATCTCAATTGAGCAAGCAATTCTATTTCAGAGGGAAAGAATGATCCCATATTGATGCATTCCAAATCCAACACCCTAAGTAATTTGAAGTGGTGACAAATGAATGTTACACTGTAGGGCCGCCTGGGGTACGAATCACTAAATGCCGAGAAAATCAAAGAACTGGTGGAGGGACCAGATGGTCTTGAGTGAATGAAGTGCTTCCGCTTCAAATATATGCAGACACGCTGACACTCGTATGTCACAGGATCTGAGGGATAAAAATCATAAAAATCAGAACCATAATCATATACATCATACGATGCATATGGTTCATCATTCCTAGAAATTAGCTGCAAAAAGTTATCTTCCTGCGCTTTTGACAGGCACAAATCACGCAGCAATCCATGAATACAGCACGCCTTGACCTTCCCATTAGATCTTCGTTTTGAAATCATTACTAGGCTTCCGTTGATTAGATCCATCAGGTAGTCCTCTGCAATAGCTTCTAAGCTCGTGGCCTCATTGCATTCAATGAATCCCTCAGCAATCCACAATCGGATCAACTTGCTGACAGGAACATCTTTGTCTTCGGAAAATGCTCCAAGATACAGAAAGCATGCCTTTAAGTGACTAGGTAAGTGCATGTAGCTTAATTCTAAGATTGCTTTGCACCGAGTTTCTGGATCTGCATTTATCCTTGAGCTTAGACTTTCTGCAATCTTTATCCAGTGGTTATCAGTGTCTTGTGTCCTTCGAAGGATACCAGCCACTGCAACAACAGCAAGAGGTAACCCTTTACATTGACGAGCAATCTCCTTCCCAACTTCTTCCAGTTCCTCAGGACAGCCGCCTGTAGGAAATGATTTCTTTTCCAATAAATTCCAACTTTCATCATCAGATAGCGGACGAAGCATATGAGGCTCGCTACCAGGTCTAGCTTCCAAAGCCACATTGTGAAAACGACTTGTTATTAAAATTCTACTCCCAACTGCATCATCTGGAAATGACCTTTCCAAATCATAAAATGCCTGAACGTCCCACACATCATCCATAACTATAAGATACCTAATTTTCTTCAATTTTTGAAACAGCTTTAATTCCAGATCTGCATCAGTCATTTGATACATCTCATCAGGAAGGCCCTGAATGTCTTTGATAATGTCAAGCAACAGTTCCCTTTTTCCATACACTTGTGAAACTGAACACCAAGCACGACGATGGAAATGATGTGCAACTTCAGGATCACTGTACACCTTCTTGGCTAGAGTAGTCTTGCCAATTCCAGGCATGCCCACAATAGAGACAATATCTCTTCGAGATGATCCTCTCATAAGCTGTCTTCTTATGACTTCTTCCTCATCAGTTAAAGTCACCAGCATCTCACCAATGTCTTGAAAACCAGGCACTGATATCCTCTGAATCGGAACATGTGAGATATTGTCACATTTCTCATCTATGGAATTGCTTAAAATTTCATCCTCTAGTGATGCACTTTTAGTCACTCTCCCATCCTCACTTTCCACTTCCGTGATGATAATAGACGGAACAGCATCAGCCTTGAGAAAATGAACCTGATACGAAGTAAGTTTGCTTTTAGTTCCAAAAGCTTGAGGGATAAGACTAATCTCAAAGAAAACAAGAGCCTACCTCTGAATCCAAGCCCGTTAAATGATGATCTGATGTGGAAATTGATGCTGATATTGAAGGAGAAGGCAAATTACTGCATCCCTCCAGTGTATGCTCTCCATTTGGTGAATCTACTGCTATGGCGAAGATCTCTTCCCTGTCAAAAAACTCCTCATATGAGAAATTTTCAGCAGTTGCATCTTCACTTGCCACCTCTGTGGCTGTCATAGGCGGTTCAGTATCAACACCAGAAAAGAGTACCTGATACAGATATGATTATGCTTCAACAACTAGAAGCATTAAAGGAAATAAGAAATCACAAAAATCATGAACCCACCTCTGCTCTAAAGTCCCCGGGGAGTATATCTTTTGCATTCCACAAAACATCCAGTTCATCACGAGTCAGCATCAATACATCAGACCGGATGAATGAGGTGTGAAACATAACTCTGAACATCATTTCCTCCCCCAAATCATCATTTACATGAAGACATTCAAGCACAACATCCCCTTGAACGTTCCGGTGAATGTCTATTTTTACCAGAGCACACTCTTCCTGCAGTAGGAAGTAAAAATGCTTCAAATGGTGGTTAAGTAACTATCATATTAATTCTTGAAGGTAAGATATCATATTACCGGTCTGTACAGGTGGGAGGGCTTATTTAATCCCGAAGTTGAAAACAAAAGTTTAGAGCTCCTACTAGAAGTTTCTGAAGGGTCCTGACCATATAGGCGAATTAGTGGCCTACATCCCTTCCCATCATCAAATTGCGGTAGGAATCTAAGTATAATACATTCTAAAGCTAAATAATTGTCTGATGGTGGCCAACTATAAGCAGTGTTTCTCCTCGAAATATATCGCAGATACCTTAGCTGGGAAGGCTGAGGATTTAAGGGAGATGAGAGATGAAGAAGTTCCAGAGGTGCTTGCTTATATATCATTTCAAGGGTCTTCTGCTCACCAGTGTAATGTCTTCTGTACAAAAGAAGACCAGCAAGCATGAAAGCAAGAACAGGCCATCCTCCCCCCTCGCAATGCATCAAAAGCACGTTCTGTTGTCCCAGTGACAGCCAGGACTCACAAGAGCGCAAGAAATGGTTCATCATTTCCAAAGGCAACACCTGACAACCCTCATATAGCTGCGGGTATTCCATGACCGTCATGTCGTACTGGGACAATATGTCATGTATTTGGCTCCTCCTGGTTCCCTCTCTAAAATTGAAAACCATGAAAGAAGCATCAGGGTAGTAATTCTGTAACTGAGCCACAACTCCACCAAAGTAGGTTCCAAGTTCGTCATCATCAAGGCTATCCGTAGAGAAGCAGCTGTCAAACACTACAGATGACACAAAAAAGAAAGAATCGCATCATCAAAGAGGAGATTAACATAAGGAACATTCTTCAATGCAGCTTCTCCTAGAGTTCACAACATCAGATACAGTAGAGTAGTCCAAATCAAACAGAAAGAGCCAATAAGCTACATTTATAGTCATTACCATAGCTTTACAAGCAATCAACATGCACTCTAAACAAACAATTACATAATACAGTTTTTTTCCCCTGCAATGGAGTATTCCAGTTTGAACGTATCTATGCATTTCAACTACATCATGGAGCATTTTACCACATTCTTTCTGGGTCAATAAAATGGGAAGAGCTAATAATATGGATGGCAATTAAGATGAAACTGAGCTAGAATGATTTCACCACTATCAAAATCATACAATCATTTCAACTGGGTCTGTTACCTAACCAGACAAGACTAATATTTATCCAGTTAAACCTTGTTAGGGCCGAGGAAGAAAATAGGAATCTTTACATTTAGCAAGTTACCACCGATTTACATTGAGCAATATAATTCAAAAAATTTCGGGAAAAATTAAACCAAAATCAGAGGTCAAAGTGAAGCAAAAATTTACCAAATGTCCGCTCAGAGATCTCGAGAAGCCGATCAGGTGGCTTCCGATAAAACAGTCGTCTAAACAGCGCCATTGAAGAAAGCCAGTACTACCACTTAAAATTCGAAATTCTAGCTCTTCTTCCCAATCTCACCACCGCTGGCCGGCGGCTGCTGATGATCCCGAAAAGATAAGGTCCCTGAGCTTCTGAAATTCAATCATGCACGGAAGCTTAGCAGATTGTTTCTGCAAGAAAAATGTTGGGAACAGAAGAAGCTAAAAATGATGAAGTCAACGTCTGTTCTCCAAAATTAATTAAAAAAAAAAAAACTGATAATTGTAAAATGAATAGTGATTTTTGGGTGGCTTCTAACTTTTTTTTTTTTTTTTGGTACAATGGAAGGAATCTTAAAGCCTAGTAGTCTAAATTATTACTTGACGTTGGTAAGAAACACCAACGATATCATTGTTGTAACCATGTCTTTATAGTTTATACCTAACCATTTTACTATTAATAATGCTTATTACTACAAGATCTGGCACTTCAATCTCCAGGGCTGAGGGACTAATTTTCAATTCCTTCCATGTATCTTGCACAGTCATCAATCATCATAATATGTATATACATATTGTTAATCAGTTTTAAGAAAATCCACATATTTCCTCAGTTGCAAAACTAGTATCCTGTAACTCCTGTTTATGGAACTAAACATAGTAAAAAGGAAACTTGAACATCATTTCAGAAGGAAGTAATTCCTTGGTTTTCTGGAAGATATGCGTATTTTCAGTGTACCCAAACAGTGTTCATCACTATGATCATAGAATATGGCAACTGCAGAAAACATATGGACTTCCAATCATCTAATCCAGATCCATTGTCAAGCCAGGATCTTGTCTGAATCTGTTTGCACGGTACCTATTTATCAGCAATGCCTTTCTATTAGAAACATCATTTTCAGTAATGATCTTCTAACATCAGCCAGCCCCTAGAAATAAAAAACGCTGAACCGGCCGAAATGAGTAGCACTTTCAACATTTAAAAGTAGTCTTTAAGATAAGACAGGAGCTGTACCTGTACGCCTGCTTGTTTTATCGTCTTGACAGTTTAATAGGGCAGCATCCATAAGTCAAAATATTTGAGCAACCTGTTGTATGATGTAATCTGCTTGTTGTTTAGAAAAATAGTGCTCCGATGAATGAAGTTTTGATATCATGGAAATTTTACATCAGACAAGAAAATAAGCCAGGAATGTAGGCAATATAGGCCAGAAATTTTCATGAAATGAGCATGGAGATACTCGGAAGTCGCAACAAAATTCATGAACAATGTAGGCTCAATTGGATCAAACAGCGAGATTGATTTTCAAGGAATGTTATCGCCACCTCTAAAGAACACAGATCTTTAGATTTCCTCGATGGCGCATTTACCATAGGTTCACAATCGAACAAACCAGGATGATGAAGATCTAGAGGGACTATTCAGTGTCGTTAATACTATTCATCTTCATCTCCCTTTGACTTACCCAACCTGACCTTGGTCCTTTTTGACATTTCAGATCTTGGTATTTGAGTGTCGGACACTGAGAAACTGTCTTCTTTGCTTCGATCAATTATTTAATTTCCCTTTACGGCAAGGCCACTGTTCTAAGGACCTCAGATCTGTATGTTTGTTATCCTTATAACTGAGACCAAAGTCTTAGTTATAAAATTTAGGTGTTCATGCCAGATAACAAATTGATCGTGTAACGCTGTGGTACCAGTGAGCACAATGTAAACAATAGGAGGAAAGAGAGTAAAGTTTTTCTATAAACGCACAAAAACACCCATGCAATTAACTGGTTTTTTGCGGGATATGCATAATGGAAAATGATTATTCTGCTGATACTGAAGCAGGACTGCTTCCAAGGGAGCAATCATTGAGTCTTCAATATCCAAATCAGCACATTATATATAAAGATCTTGGAAATAAAAATCACTCAAACCATTTTGTTTCCATGAATGGCACGCCTGATAGATCGAAAGGCAAGCAGAACTTAAATACATCAAATCTGTACACTGTACAAAAGAGAAGCCGCAGTGGGAAGAACCAGGAATTTCATGATGTTGGGATGTCCAGTGCCTCTTGTTCTTTCACATTCAACACCGTCTGTTTGTGTTCAACCTTTCACAGACGTCAGACAGGTCCGCCTTGTCATTTCCTTGGTGACCTATTACGTATTGAAGTTGTTTTCACATTAGGATGATACTTAAGCACTAGACACATTTGCCAACCACTCAATACAATTACGACTGGATGTGAGGGTTTAAGGGGAAAAGCAACTAACTGGAAACTGAGAAATATTGCAACTTTAGATGCGTGAATGGAACCATATACTATCACACGGTTTATACAAACAACAATGCAATTAAACTAACGTCAGTAATACTAAAGAGCAATCAGTGGCATTCACATTCTTTCTAATGAACCACGCTACAGTTGAAGTTATATTGGCCAGTGGAAGGATTCAGATGGCAATTTCAATCCATAAGAATTATGGGAAAAAATGCATGCAGATAATCATTTTATAACAATCCGGGGGGGGGGGTGTTTGGGGGGTGGAAGTGATGCAGATATAAAACAGATTTTTGAGGGGGATAAGCAACCTGTAAACATGATGATAATCCAGCAGCTCATGGGAGATCATTGACGCAATCAGAATCACAATGCGAATGATTGATTATAATCTCCAGCTCTTCATTTCCCCATTCCTGCTGTTCCTGCTTCAGTTTTTTAACTGACTCTTCAACAGAGGCTTGACACATTTGTACCTCGATCACCTCTAAAGTTGGAATGTATCCGAGACCTGAAGGGACCTCCTCAAGCTGTCTACAATTTTGCACAACAAGGCATCGAAGCCTGGGAAGATTGTCAGCACATGCATTCCATTGAACAATGTTTAGAGTGTCAAGTTTCAGAAATGTCAGTTTCGAGAACTCCACATCTTCCATGTCCCATATTTTCTCATCAAAATCTATAGCATGTAATTTTAAAACCTCAATGTTGGGTAGCTTCCCAATTTCAGAAACACAATCCCATTGTAGGTGAAATTCTGACAGGGTCAATTTTCTAAGAGTTAATGGGAAATCAAATTTACGAGGACAAAACTTCCTGCCAGAATAGAGTACCTTGAGTGACTCCAGATCATTCAGAAATTCCAGCTCTGGAAACTGATCCCAGTTCCCACCATCTACACCTCCAAAATCTGGAATAATGAATGTGAGCCTTTGAAGTTTGGGTAACCTTCCCAAAATGTTTTCCGCCTCTTGACCACTAGATAGGAAAAGAGACGAAAGACTGACCAAATTAAGTAACTGGGCAGAACGTTTCATTTGTGCACCTGGCTTAACATGTAGATGTTGCAACTTTTCCATGCTCCAAAGGGTAGCTGGCAGTTCTAATATACCTTTTAATCCAACAAATACAAAAGTTTGCAAATTCCTGAGGTTGGCTAGTGAGTCCGGAATACGGTCAACATCACCAGAAAGTGCTAAATACCTCAAACAAACCCAAACTCCTATTCCAATGAGGAAACTCTGACCCATGTTGATGCATTCTAAATCCAGCACTCTAAGACGTTTAAAACTTTCAGGAATGAAGGAGATCTCGTAGGGGCTCGTTGGACGCAAATCACTCGTGGCAAAGCACAGTAGAGAATGAACATGTGGCCCTACTGGTCTTGACATGACAAAATGTTTTCTCTTGGTATGAAAGGACACTCGCCGTTTTTGACATGTCACAGGATCTTCAGGATGGCTATAGTTGCAAGGAAGTAAGAATAAATTCTCAGGATATGAAGAAAAAGCTTCATCGCGAGATGTTACCTGTTGCAAAAAGGATTCCTCTTTGCATATCAGGGAGCATAATGAACGTACCATGTCATGGACACGGCAAGTTTTGACTCTTCCGTTCGATTTTCTTTTGGAAGCCATAACTAAGTTTCTACCTATTAAATCAGATAAGTATTCCTCTGCAACACCCTCAATGCTCTGTGCCCCTGTGTGTTGGATAAAACCTTCAGCTGTCCATAGCCGTATCAACTTGCAAACCGTAATTTCTTTGTCCTCCATAAATGCTCCAAGATAAAGAAAGCAAAGCTTTAAACGGTTAGGTAAATGTTTGAAGCTTAGCTTTAAGATGCCCATACACATTGATTCCGTGGAATTGGCAATGAGTGAGATGACAGTTTCACCAACTTGATTCCAGCTATGTGACGTCATGTCAGTTCTTTGGAGGAGACCAGATATTGCAACAAGGGCGAGAGGGAGCCCTTGACAACTTCGCGCAATTTCCTTTCCCAGATCCTGGAGGTCCTCAGGACAACCTTTTGCTTGGAACAACTTCCTCTGCAACAGTTCCCAACTCTGATCTACAGAGAGTAGGCGAAGCGAGAGAATGCTATCACCTTTAATCTCAGCAGCCACATCATGCAGACGACTGGTTATCAAAATTCTGCTTCCCCTTTTGTCATCTCGGAATGATTTTTGCAAGTCATTCCAAGCCTCAATGCTCCATATGTCATCAAGAACTATTAAATATCTTTTTCCCTTCAGGCATCTGTATAGCATCTCCGCAAACTCATGATAATTCATTTCTAGTATTTTGGTAGTAAGTTCCATCATCCCACCCAAAATTTCAAGCAATAGTTTTCTTTTTTGATAAAATTGGGTAACACAACACCATGCACGTTGATGGAAGTGATAGGTGACTGCAGGATCGTTATATACCTTCCTGGCAAGAGTTGTTTTACCTATTCCCCCCATCCCAACAATGGAAGTGACATCTAGCTGCAAAGATGATCCTCTCGTGAGCCTATCAATCACCCATTTGTGTTCATCAACAAGGTCAACCACGACTTCATCAATTTGGGAAATATTCGTTGGGGTTGAGGCCTGGAGAACATTATTAATGCTGACGTTACGCTCCTTCTCAGAGAATTTGGAGATCTGAACCTTAATAAGTTTCATGTCTTCTATGAGATCAGAAAGCCATAGGAAATAGTACCATGGAACATCATCTTTCCTTAACAATGAATCACTAATATATTCCACCTGAGATCACATAAAATAAAAATTAAAGCTTCTGTAATCAGTAAAGCTACTAATATAATCTCAGAAAACAAACTAACGAAAAGCTCTACCTGCGATGCCACTCCTACAATGTCTGAAATAAGAGTTCTCAAATCTGCATGCTCGCAGTCATAGAGCTTGTCTTCCAAATCCTTAAGGAATGATCTCAAGGACTTCTTTCTCCGTGAATAACTTGAAATTGCTTAGTGAACTGAAAATCATTTGAGTTTAGCAGCTCCTGTAAATCTCTTACAAGGAAATCCAGGGATCCCAATTCTGGAGTTGTGGAGGAATAGAGTGGCAAAGAGTTTCGATCATTTAGATATCTCCCTTTGATCTCTGTGCTGATAAGCTCAACCCTTTCTAACAACTCACGAAGCGATAAGCTGAAAGACCTCAATGAGTCCGCACTTATTTTGTTTGAAAGAAAAGAGTTCAAAGTTGAAAATACATGTATTAGAACGGCTTCCTCAAGTGTTTCCTTTGATCCTCGATTTGCTGCCAGAAAAAATGTGACAATCATTAGCTCCTCATGAAGCCTTTCTATTTGTTTCTTGACATCAGGCAGTAGACGATTTTGAAATCTGTCAAGAAACTCTTTTAACATTATCTCCATCTTAAGAATTCTAACAGTGAGAATATGCTCACTAAACAGCTGCGCACTAACAACACTGGGATGCCCTTCATAAATGGTGCAAGATTTGCCTTCCCTGTCGGAGACTGATCTAGCAGTTGAAACAAGATGAAGAATAAATGTCCACGATGGAGGAATCTCATCTCCCAAAAATTTGCACAAACAGAGTAGTCCATCTTCAATAGAATCAAATTGAGATTGTTCCATGGATATGGAGACACTGTTAAGGGGATTGAAGGTTTCGAGGATCACCTCAACCACCAGAAGCATTATCTTTTGAAGCAACTTATTGAGTGAAGGATCAATCTCTCCACTGGTCGTCGCGTGTCCATTACACAAATGAGATCCTAGCTCATCAAATGCCGCTACAATGTCAACCAAAAGCAGCCTGATTGCATCGCTTTTGTTGCCAAAATACAAATGCCAGACGAACAGTAAAAGGTGTGTTAGCCCATGGTGAAGAGTTTCAACTTGATACTTCTCTGGACAGAGAAATCGACAAAAGCAGACGAATGCCATACTAAAATATGTGTACTCTTGGGATAGCACCTTTGGTGCAAACATCGTCATGGCACCCAAGAGCTGTACCAATAAACCGCTCACACTTGCACTTGCAACATGGGACCACAATTCACGTGGAACGAGACAATTGTGTAACAATGCTTCGGCTTTAGAGGTGAACACCATAAGTGCTTCCAGACACCCCTCAATGACTACAGGGGTTCTGGGCTTGAAGTTGTTCATGATCAGATCACTAAGCAGAACAGCCATTCTTTCATCTAAATGGTTAATATCCACCCAGGAAATATAACAAACACGTGCTGCTCGGACAAGTCCAGCTCCAAAAACAGTCAAATGGTTTCTAAATTTGCCTTGTTGGAGACTCAGACGTAGAACAACCTGAACGAAACACCTGAGGCTCCCAAGCATCTCTTTCAGGGCTTCGAGTTTGGGGACGACGACTGAAGGAATTCTGCCATTATTCCAGGAAAGGAGATCCTGCATATTCTGTTCCAGTGAATTTGCAAAATATATCCAGGTAACATCATCATGTTGAAAATCCAAGCGGGATTCATAAAAATCATAAGCTGCTTTGACCTGTGGCCTCCAAATCGTGAACTTCTCTCGCAACCTGGAAATCGCAGGATCCAGATTCATGGAATTAGCATTTCTGAAATCCCATTTCGACTCTTTGAATCCAGCAGAAACCTGGGACGCCATCATCTTGGCCTCGGGATAACCATTATTTTGGTTCTTTGATAATAACACAATAAATGTTTTCAGGAACCTCAATTCCACCCCCAAGTTGCCAATATCATCATCAGAACCAGAAGGGTTTGACGACGAATTCCTGGAGGCGTTGTCAATCTCCTTCAATAGAGAATGAAGTTCATAAAGTCGAAGATCCAGATCCAATTTTTTACCCATCCCTCTAATCCTTTCCATATCTATTTTTCAGTAACTAGGAAAAATCCAGAATCTATCCTGTACGGGCTCTGTCACCAGATCATCACTCCTAAAACAATTCCTTCTTGCTGACAAGAGTTTTATAGTTCATCTACTTCTTTTTGGAGTGTAAATTCAATGGGACCAGCCCATATGCATGACACTTAATGCGTGCAATTTGCAAACAAAATCCAGCGATGTGCCTGTTACAATCAACAATATTCCAACGAGATTTTTTTTAAAAAAAAAAAAAAAATTTATTTTACTAAATTGACAAGTAAATATAAAGTCTCGATCTCACTTGGTTGTCATTTTTCACTCGTATGTTTGGGTAAAATTCGATACAAGTAAAAAGAAGAAATCCATAAAATACATTTGGAATAGTTTCATATACCACTCAAGTTTTAATTTGCGTTAGAACTTTTAGTCTAATTGTTTTTTCCCAACAGTTCGGAGGAGGAGGATTCACAACAGGGCACTATAGTTCCCGGGAAGGCTTAGTTGATCCATGACTTATGTTTTATCTTTCTTTTTGTTTCGAGAAATCTGTTGATCAATCCCGATTCTTTCTTTTTCTCTTGATTGTTTTCCAATTCCATAAAGTTTTAAACTAATTTTACATAATCTTCTGAAGTTTCAAAATATTTTTCCCATAACTTTTTTATTTATAATCTTTTAAGTACTATCTTTTGTTTTATAAGTTAAACTAATATTGATCATTTCACACTACTATTTTTCTGTCCCAAATTGATTGTCATGTTTTAATACGTACACCGAATAATATAAATTGGATAGTCATTTTGAGGCAGAGGGAGTATTTGTTATTTATTTATGTTTGAAACATTTATGTAATTTTAATTTGTGTTTCGATGTATGTACATACATAAGAGTAGTATTTCTATTTTCTATTTGGTCTACTTTTGTGTACAGCAGAGATACATACTCCCTCTAGCCTAATTCTCTTCATTGTATTATTTTCAGCTCAATTAAGTGAACTATAAGCGGAAAAATACATGAAAAAAGCGTAATACTTACATTTTTATAAAATGACATAAAATAATCTTATCACTTCAACTTGTACTGATATAGATCATGGACTTTTCATCCGTAATAAGTTTGAGATAAGGAGCTAGTGTTTCGAACAATTATAAAATAGGAAATAACATGTTCCTTATGTGATGATTGATACTGATTCACTCCCTAAGCTATAAACAAAAGCACTGACTTACTCCCTAAGCTATAAAACAAAAGCTCTAATTAAGAAGAGGCGACACATTCCCCTGCAAATTGAGGTTGGATCGAATATCATTAGTCCCAACTTAATTTGAGGCCGAAACAAATAAGGAGTACATGAATTGTCTTCTGAGTTTTGGGCCCGGGTTCCCAACAATTGGGCCCAACAGTGCTTGAAACCAAAAGCCAATTGGTTTTCGTTTTGGGCTTGACCGAAGGAAAGAAAGAAAACCAAGTCCACCTTGGATAGATTTTTTTGGGTTTGGTTGTATAAAGCCTTGGCTTCCTTGGTTTTTATGTGTGTTTTTGGACGCATGTTTTTCAGCCTAGAGAAAAGACGAATTAAGGCAGCCGTGCAAGGGTTTTGTGTGAGAGAAAAAAGAAAGAAAACTAGGGTTTAGTTTTCGGTTTAACTCTCTTTTGATTAGATCCTTTCGGTCCTACTTTTTGATAGGTGTGTGTGGAAGAGTATTATTGTAATCCACCTTTGGGTGAAGTCCTGTGTATCCACCGATTAGTGAAAATTGTTTCCCATTATTGTGATAGTGGAGATTTGACTGTTGTTACAGTCCCGTGGGTTTTTTCAATTTGAGTTTCCACGTAAATTCGTGTGCCTCCTTTATTTTATCAGTTCTTGAATTATTTTGCTTGTTTGGTTGTCCTATTTTATTGGTAGTAGGAAAGGAGATTTTCTTCGAGTTCGCTTCCATAGTGTGTTGTGTTTATGTCCTTTCCGCCACAACAGTGGTATCAGAAGAGCTACGGTTCGATAATTGAGGTGTTACACCAATAAAATGGAAGAGTCATCGGGTGCTGGTACGATGATTAAATTGATTTCATTTAATTATCATATGTGGAAGCCTAAAATGGAAGATTTATTGTATTGCAAAGATTTGTTTGATCCTGTTCTAGGGGATGAAGGTAGGCCAAGTGATGTGACTGATAAAAAAAAAGGCTGATATGCACAGGAAGACTGTTGGTAATATTCGACAGTGGATTGATCAAAGTGTGTTTCATCACTTTTTGGGAGAAACAAAAGCTGATGAACTTTGGGAGAAAATCCAGAATATGTACTGAAAGAAGTTCGACATCAATAAGTCATTTGCGCTGAACAGATTACCAGGTTGAAGTACAAAGATGGTGCTAGCATGAATGAGCACTTGAGTTTGTTTCAGGGTTTGTTGAACCAGACAGTGAATGTAGGTTTAAAGTTGGATGATGAGGTGCAAACTTTGTTATTGTTTAGTTCTGTTCCAGACAGTTGGGACACTTTGGTAGTGTCAATCAGTAATTCAACCCAGGATGGTGTCTTGACCTTGGATCAGATCAAAGAGGCTTTGATGAATGAAGAAGTCAGAAGAAAAGAGCAGAGTATTGAGTCTGAGTCGCAGGCTCTGGTGATAGAAAAGTCAGATAGAAGAGGGAGAAGTAAAAGCAGAGGGCCACGTGATCGGAATGACAAGTCCAGAGGATGGTCTAAATCCAAGAAAGATGCCGTGTGCTACCATTGTCAAGGGGATGGGCACTTTAAGAGGGAGTGCAGGGTTCTCTAGAGAGAACTAGCAGCGAGAAAAAGGTAAAGGCAAGAAGGATGAACCAAGTGATGATGACACTACTGCAGTAGTAACTACCAGTGATGTATTTGTGTACTGTGATGATGATACAATTAGTGTTGGGAGTCCCGACAGTGATTAGTTCGGTGATTCAGGTGCGTCTTATGATGTGACGCCTCATAGACACTTCTTTACCTCTTACACACCTAGAGATTTTGGCCATGTAAGAATGGGCAATCAAGCCTCATGTGATGTTGTCGGCATGGGAGAGGTATCATTGGTAACGAATACAGGTTGTACTCTTGTCTTGAAGAATGTCAAACATGTTCCAGATATGCGTCTGAACCTTATTTCCGTTGAAAAACTTGATGATGGGAGTTATCATAGCACTGAAGGTGGTGGCCGTTGGACAATTACCAGAGGGAATCTTGTTATTCCTAGAGGAAAAAAGTTGAACTCTTTGTATGTGTTGCATGCAAAGTTGAAGAAAGGAGAGGTGAATGCAACTCACAATGCCCCCATTGATCTCTGACACAGAAGGCTTGGACACATTAGTGTCAAGGGGCTCCAGATTCTTGGTAAGAAGCAATTTCTCCTTGAGGTGAAAGGTACTGCTCTAAAACCTTGTGTTGACTGTATCTATGGTAAACAGCATAGGGTTTCTTTTTAAAATTCTCCTCCATCTAGAAAGTCCAGTCCTCTAGAGTTAGTTTATACAGATGTATGTTACATGAAAAATAGGTCGCTGGGTGGTGCATTGTACTTTGTTACTTTCATTGATGATTATGCTCGAAAGGTTTGGTGTTTTTCTTTGAAATCTAAAGATCAGGTGTTAGATGTGTTCAAAGACTTTTACCTTAGAGTTGAATGAGAGATTGGCAAGAAGTTGAAGTGTGTTCGAGCAGATAATGGTGGTGAGTTGATAACGGTCAAATTGTTACATAAAAGCATCACAATTAACTCTGTATTTAGTAGGAAATTGGGGGGTATTTCCTAGCATTAGTGCATTTTACTTAACTCGTCTTTGTGTTTTTGTTAGGTAAGGGCTGGATTGCATAATTGCTGAAAATTGGAGGCCAAGGGATAATTTATGGGCTGCTGAGGTAATGTTGCTGAGCTGGACGAAGAAGCAGCCCCTTAGACAAGAAGCATCTTGTCATTAATGACTATGTCTCCTCAAAGAGGCATGCTTGTCCCCCAGCTGCAATCTCAGCCACCTCTGCAGATCAATGAGAGCAATGCTGCCACTGCTAGAAGAAGAAAAGAAGAACAGCCAAGTTGGATTGTTGGCTCAAGACATTGGGAGGATTAAACAACTTCAAGCATGGGGAGGCTATCTTGGAAGAAGAACCGGCTTCAAAGCTCTATAAAAGGAGCTACATTCCCAACATGAACAGATACATTTGATAGGACATACAACACACAAAACACCACAGAGAGAGAAGAAGAGAGCAGAGAGGGGAGAAAACTCCAAAGGAAGAAGAAGTCCAGTAACAGAAAAAGAGGAGTACCAGACCTCACTCGCCTGAGTGACCTTTGTCACTCAGGCGAGTGACCTGTTGCTCAGCCATCCAGATTTGCTTCTTTTCAATGATTTCCTTCTTTTCTTGTATTTTCTGTAGTTTGTATGTGTAGTTAATTAGATTTCATTCTCTGGAACCTATGTAGTTTAAGTTTGTGAATGCATTCGGATGATTTTGTGTTTTGAAGTTAAAGCTTTCATCTACCTCTTGATTAAATTGGCCATTTGATTGATTGTGCACGAACTAAGTGAATCCGGAAGGGTAAACAAGGTTCGAATCATTTAGCTTCAACTTATGACTTGGAGGTAACAGTCCAAGGTTCTAATTGAGATAGGAATATACTTGGTTAGCATAAGCATTCATATAAGGCTTGAAAAACTTCATGACTTTATGACTTGATTAATCATTGGAAAATAGTTTAATTGAGTTGATAAAGATACCTCTAGGAAAAATCAGAAGTGACTTAGAGATATATAAGTGCCTGAATGAGCATGAATTCATACCAAAAGAGTGCAAGATTACAACTTGATTACATAGGGAAAAGAGAATGAATATCCAGTTTGTTGAGTCAGTCCCTTGAGTCGGAATTCTCACTCCCGTGAGTGAGGTTCCATTTGTCTTTCTTTGTCTTTACTTCTGCAGAGTCACTTGCCTGAGTGACTTTACCCACTCGTGCAAGTGAGTGACACTC